AGGGCATAAAAACCAAACCCCCCCTAAAAAAAATAAATAAATAAATTTATTTTTGAGGGGCAGCAGAGAAAAAAAAGGGTCATCTACTGCACAATACAGTGCACAACATACAGCACTGTCACTAACCCTCTTGCCTTGATTGGAATTGACCCACCTCCATGTCATGCAAAAGGAGGACTATGGTTGGTCAATTTAAATGTTTAAGTGTGATTTTTCCATCCAAAATGAGCATTTATGATCATGTTACTATTGACATGCACCAGACTATGGCAAATCATTTTAGCCTAAAACGACAACAGCAATACAAGTCATAATTGAGTTTTTACTAGTAAAAATGTCATCCCAACTACTCAAAATATACTTCTGACTAGTAAGAAAAAAATAATAGAAATCTGTAATTTCATTTAACTAGTGAAATGTTTCTTTTGCTATTAAAATGATATTTTTACAAGTTAAAATTGAATTACAGATCTCTTTAACATAATTACAGATGGCAACATCTTTTTACTAGTAACAATAAATATTACAGATCTTAATTATAAAAACATCACTCATTCATAGATAATTATGACTAGTCAAATTGTAATAAACCTGACAAATTCTTTATACTGGGTTAGAGAGGGTTCCCACTCCATTACCTCACCTCACCTGATCTGTCTTACCATCACATGCAACTCTGACTCTGAGTTCTATTATAACTAACAACTTTGTTCCTTTTACCTACAGGTCATGTCATCCTTCATAGGCCATTTCAGTTCTATTCATTAATATACCATTACATAAAATAAAAACCACTGGTCTTAAGCTATTGCGTTTGATTATACCATTATTTATAAGTCAAAACACCTTTTAATGGGCTACAGTCTTGCTTACATCATCTCACATCACATTTCCCACTTTTCCTTTTTTTCATTGATCAAGAGAAAGCAAAGAAGTTCAAAGAAGGCACACACAGGTATATCTGCACACATACACAAAGAGAGCCATGAGTACAATGTGATTGAAACATTTATTATTTTAGTGATCCTGAAAAATCTTTCACATTGTCAAAAAATGTCTCTCAGCCTCCCATTTTCTCTACACAGCAAAGACAGCACTTCATAACGGCTCTGTTTTACATTGGAAGGGCCCCAGTCAGAAAAGTCAAGTTTAGATCACTGTAAGGGCACCTTATGTGGCACTTCATAACATTTTAATTTTAATCTTTATGTGTTTTTAGACGGTCACTCATTAAGACATGTAATCAAATTTTCTTGCTCTAGAGGGCACATCATCATAATTTACTGTATGAAGGGGCATCTTTATCCCATTGTGAAGGGCAGCCAATAGGGCACTTCTTCACCACTCTAGAGAGGACTTTAGCGATGCTTTTTTTCAACCATGGTGGCACTGGGGAGCAACCCCCTTCTCCCTCCGACTCTACCAGTGTGATGAACTGTTTTTGTCCAGAAGGTAGGCAGGACATGTGCGTAGAAATGCAACAGATGGGGCAATAGGGACTTTGTAAAACACCAGACCAAAGGAGTTTATATGTAGGATGGTGTGTCCATGGAATGAGGGTTAGAAATAACAGCACACCTGATTTAATTTGATGAAGCAATGATCAGATAAACTAGGTAAGAGATGACCAGCCTATCATAGGGGTAAGTTTGGGAATGGTTACACAAACGCATTAATAAGCAGAAAAAGAAATATTAAATCGCTATTCATTGTGTTAATGTAGATTAATGCGGTGTATTTATTCTTACATTAATATTTTCAGCACCAAACACTCACTACCAAGTTAAAATATGTTTGTGAATATGATTTTCTTAGGTGAAGAGAAATTCTTCACTGCTCTTCAGCGCAGTCAGTGCAGATATAATCATTTATATTCTGAATGGAACACAGTTTATTCTTTAATCATTTATGAATATGAACATTTCCATTGATATAAAATAAATTAAAAGTTAAAAAGAGGACTGAAGAGTTCAGTGCAGTCACGTGGCTGAGGAGGCGGAGCCAGTAACCATAGTAACACCGAACAGCGTGTGTGATTCAGAGCGGCTGGTAAACAGAGCAGCTCCTTCATTTCCCAAAATAACTTCAATGGCTTTCTTTGGCATCACAAATCTGGGCTATCAGAGCCCCTTCGGGGACAGGATGATACCTTCGTCACTGAGAAAGTCAGACGCACAAGGTAACGTACCTGTACGGTTTAGCCTTAACTTCAGGTAACGTTAGTATTGCTAACAAGCTAAGCTAAGCTGGAACTGGTGTGAACTAACTAACGCTGGAAAATCAGCCGAGTCTCATTTTCACAGACTTTTCACAGTAATTCAGCCACAGCACACAGAGCGATGAGCGTTACCTGTTAAACAACGTTAATCATACTCAGTTCTGTGACTTTACAGCGCTATATTTAACTTGAAAGGTCTGGACACAACAAACCGAAGGTGCATTTTTCATTCCTTAAAGACATTCAGATCTAAACGCTTTACGCTTCAGTGCAAATAAAATTAGTTTCTAAGACAAAGAAAGTGCTTTTGTACGGAATTATTAAAAAAGAGCGTTTTTAAAAGCACCTAACAAGTGGTTTTGAGTAAGTTTGTCTTCTTTATTTCTTTTACAAAAGCGCTCCAGGTGGCTCTCCAAAAAGCTGCTTAAGAGAATGATGAAGGGTCTGTAAACCTGCAGTTCAAGAGGGGATAATTGCTAATGATTTGTTTATCTGTTCTGATGTCGTCACTACTATAAAAAAAACAAACAAGGAAAACCTCTAAGAGTAGGTGTGTCCAAACTAACCCTACACCAGCTTTGAAAGTTTGTCATCACAGTGTAGACTGAAATAAAAGCAAGACAGCAGATCGTGTTTTAAGATTAGGAAAAGTTCACTTACACTATAAATTGTGATTGTGTCTTGACTTGAAATTAACTTCTTACACTGATTGCTGCTGGACATATTCATGTGTTCCGCAGTAGTTTTAAGGGAACTTAAGGACTTAGTGTAACATCAGAATACCAAGTTGTAATTTCTAGCTACTTCTCTTTCAACCTGAGCCACTGTTTCATTGAATTGAGAATGGGCCTCATTCACCAATCCTTCTTAAAACAAAATGTCTTCCTAAAAGCCACTTACACAGCTTTCATGAAGTCTGTCATTCATCAATCTTCTCTTAAGTGGGATTTGTTCTTGGGTAAGAACAGAATCTACACACATTCAACAGCACAAAGGTATGAACAGTTCTGCACTTTAAGAACCCGTCGTGATTCTGGCGTAGACTTTTTTTAGGACTTTTCTCAAGAGCACATTTAAGAAAAAACTGAGAAATATGTTGGTGAAAGAGGCCTAATATTCTTACTTGATTTGTCTTGCTCTATCCACCACTGTTTAAAACCGAAGACTCCAGATGGGATAAACGTCCAGAGCTCCCCCCAATCAGTTCCCCAAGAAGACTGACGTGTACTGACACATGCAGCATCTACAACCAGCCAACTTCCTTCACTGCAAACATACATCAGGGCAGTCAGAAGAAATACAAGGAGATGATCAGACGGGTACAGACACCCAGATGTAAGTTAAAATAAATACATTAAAATTGTGTTGGATAACATTTCTGCCCACATTTCTTAATGTGTGGGGTTTGCTGAAGTGGTTTCTTTCTTCCAGCTCCTAACCAGCTGTACTGTGTGCCTTTAACGGACAATCAGCAGTACGGGTGGTGGCTGCCCATCGGTGAACCTAAGATTAATCATTCTTGGACTAAAGTCCGTCGCTTTCCCCGCAAGAACAGCGAAATGACTAAGTATGAAAAGCTCTACTTCCACAACATCTTGTGTAAATTTTGTATCTTCTATGTTGCATTAAATTATACTAGTTGTTCTGCACTAACTGGTCACAATTACTCCATCTGTTTCAGATAAAGTGGCCAGTGAGTGCAGACATGCCATACTGTCATGTGAGACAAATGGCTAATGCAGCTTTTGTCTACTCAGCATGTCTTTGTTATTTCAGATTTGTGAAGGAGATGTCCATGACTGATCGGGAGTTCAGCTTATTTTGAGCTTCTTTGCCAAAACTGTCAGAATGGATCTTTTTTTCTCTTTGACAGTGTTGCTCCTAGCTCTGCTAATAAAGTGACTTGTTCTTAACATTCCTCATACTGTAGTTTACTCAGTACATGCTGAAACTGCAGTGCTGGAATACTAGTGATGTTGCTGCCTAATCTTTGACAGTTTTGAAGATCCCCTTTACCATAATATAAATTACACATAAATGCAGATGTAGATCCACCATCATAAAAAAATGTCAAAGCTCTGGATGTGCAGATTTTATCAAATGCTTTGTGTAGCTTGTTAAGTTACATCCACTCCCTATAATGCTGCCAATTGCAATGGATTTTAAAATGTATTTTACGCTCAAATAAAGCTTGCGAGTGATACATATAATTATCGCAAGTATTTAATCTGAAGTTATTTGTCTTACTAATGAAAAGAAAGCTTATGCACTATCCTCTAACAACCCATCTCTCACGCATCACGTCACATTTAACAGTGATAGTTTGGCACTACTTATCACAAATTTGCATGTGATAAGTAATAAGTAATAATGCCAGCTTTGTTTAACGTACAGATGGGATGTCGTTGGAAGATGGAAGGAGGCAGCCAGTGTTTTCATTACAGAGATTCTGAGGGCTCAACACATGCATCTCAATGCAGGCTCTAAAATATTTACAGCACCAGTTTGCAGTAGCAGAGTGTCTTTGGTTACTCACAGCTACAACCTGACCTGGGTTTGGAAATTATGAAATTCTGCCTGTTAAATGGATATTCAATCATATGAGCATAAAACAGTCTTATGCAAACGTTTGGGCACCTCTAGTCAAATGGTTATTTGCCAATAAGTTAACACAACTTCCACAAAGAACACACTTAAATATGGTATATTTCTATATATTTAAATTCTTAAATTATTTGCTGGATTTAACATACTGTTAAATTCAGCAAATAAACAGTAGCAGTGCATTACAATTTGCAGAGGCCTGTTCTGTGTAGAGTTTGTGTTAAGTAATTTGATCAAAAGTGGCCAAACTTTTACACAAGACTGTATTAAACGAAGGTTATTTCTGTTAGGTTACATAAATGAAACTAGTTTTTGTTGGTTAGATGTTTCCAGTTGCCGTGAGTGAGTGCATATAATAAAGCTGTAAATGTAAATTTTTTCAAGTATTTGCTTGCCTCAGGTGCCTTTGATCACTATGTATGAATCAACATGAACATTCAAGTTAGCTACAACTTGAAGATACCATAAACAAAAAGAACAAGAAAAAGAATCATAGCCAGACATTATCCATAGAGAACTGAAATTTCCTGAAAAAGAAAGAAGATAGGAAAGAACCATTGGATGGTTACTTAACAGACTTACTTTGATGAAGGAAAGAGACTGTTTGGTAACAGTAAAATAACCAGAGCTGTGAAGAAAAACTTGAAACCTAACGAATTATCTGTTGAAATGATCTTGATCTTCCAGAGTGAAACCATCTACAGTTGGCAAAATTCTTTACCAGAAAGGATTTGAAGCACAACTGAACCAGTTAACTGAAGCATCTCATCATGTAGTGCATCCATACACAGCAACACACACACCAAAAAAAGGCTAATACAATAAAGAACCTTACAAGCAGCAGAATGATGAAAGTGTTGGCTTTGCACATTGGTACATTAATATATATTCAATCTATCAAGCATTTCATATTCTTGATTTACTTCTTCACTTCTATTTTTTTTCCTTAATTGTCAGAGATTTCCAGGGATTTTCTAATTACTTACACCATTTCTTTTATTGTGTTGACACCATACTTACATGTGCTAGTGGATTTTAAATCTTTTCAACCTTCACTTACATTTTGTTTCATGTTTTTAGTAATTATTTTGAAAGGAATCACAATTTCATTAAATTTGTTTATAAAAATCATATAATGTTGGCTTTGTGGTTTTTTTTTTCCTTTGAAAAAAAAAAAACTCAATTAAATTCAGTTACATCCTTTTTTCACGAAGAGCTCCACATAAAATCAAGAAGAAATGACTCATCTGCAACAATAAAAACAATCGAAACAGACATTATTCTTTATTTTGTAGGAGGGGAAAAGTTATTTCTATATTTATCTTTCCATTGCATGTTGAAAAGCTAGTCCCTTCTCTAGTCTTTTGACTAAAAGAAAACAGAAAATCAAACTAAAGTGTACAGAAATAAAAGGAGCGATCAGGAGTCGTTCAGCCTGATCACACAGGCCCCAGTGTGAGAGTCAGTAGTACTAAAATACTTCTTTAAAATACATTTTACCTGCCCACAACTGATCCAACACTATGCCCTTTCCCTCCCATTGAGCCTTCATCCTGCATCCTTGACTCCTTCATTACATAAACTGGAGGGACCAAATCAAAGGAAAAAAAACTGCAACTGCTTTTGGTTACAAATGTGATCAACTGACATATGCAATGAACCAGTGCTACTACCATGGCAATTTTTTAAGCAAGTAAGGAATACTCAGCAGGAGAAAGACACGGCTTGGGCTGTTACCATGCAAGTTAATATCTGGAAATAAGTAGTCGGAATGATGGAAATGACATTTTCAATGATGAAGCTACGAGGACTGTTCAGGAGCCTCAGATGTTTTTTGTAATGTGGACCACATGAGACAGAGAGGCACTGTTAATATACACTTAAGTTTTGTTCAATTAAGGCAACTGCACTCTACTGCGTACTGCACACATGCAGTGGAGGGTTTTTCACGTCTGTTAGATCAGTTGGATGGCGCAGCTGCCAACTGGCCTGCAAAGGCATGAAGCCTTTCATTTACATGTCATCGCTGTCGTATCAAAACCTTCGGAATTTCTATATTTTCTACACAATTTGAAAACACCAGCTGCCCTTTAAATTGTGTGAACACTTCATTATGAATGAACAAACAGAAAAGTAACTCTGAATAAACTCTTGTTACATTAACATACATTAAAAGTTACAAACCTTTTTTTTCCTTCGCCTCCAAAGTTTCCGTTTCAGAGATAAATGGTTTTGTTACGACAGCGACATAATTCTGCAATCCTACAGACAGAATAAGGAACACCAAACTCACGTTTCTTGCATGACTGACAAATCTCATCCTCATAGAATGACTTTTTTCAAAAGGGCATTCGAGGAATAAACAAAGCAAATACTGTTCAGCTGACCCTACATCACTGACCACAGCTGACCCATTTAGTACCAATACACTCAAACATCCATCCCAAACAGCTTGTTCATGCCTTGTTCCTTCTCCTAAGTTGGAATGGAATCATAATCAAATGCATATTAATAACAACCATAATAGGAATAATAAAAATGATGAATACACAGGTGATACAAAATACCCAACATTAAAACTTCAGAGAAACAAACAGAAAAGAATTTGTCGAGAAGATACCACAATCAGACATGCTTTAGAGCAGTTAGGTTTGGCAAGAAAAGCAGTTTGTCATATCATAGAAACCTCACAGTGAAAAGAGTTATGCCCCTTCGAGATTACAAAGCACAGTATTCAGTCATAATTTATAGATATATTTCTCTCTCTCTCTCTCTCTTTAAAAAAAAAAGCAAAAGTCTCTCTGTTGTGAATTGGAACTCAGTAAACTGTCTGGTACCGTGGTATCCAATGCCGTGGCTTTCCCCCAATGCCTCCAAAAAAACAAAAACCAACAAAAACAAAACAAACTTTTTTTCCTTTTTATTTTGTTTTGTACCAAAAAATACTTCTTTGAAAAAGAAGAGACGGCTGATGGAACGAAGGAAACAAAACTGCGGTCTCTCTGGCGGACATGTTGTAAGCCCAGGCGTGATCATGTTCCATACAGAATGAGACACCGCCTTTAACTTTCCATCCATGGGATCTAATGCGGTTATTCTAAAAGTCGGGCCTTCTGGTCGATTCCGCTCAATCCTTCATCTCGACAAGAAGCTAAAATTCCAAGACTTAAATGACTTTTGTGTCACTTATGTTGATCGAATTATCCCGGGCTTCACTCTCAAAACTGGAACAAAAAAGGGGAGAGGCCTTAAGAGCATTAGACAATATTCAAAACGTTGTCTTCATGAGAACCTTTTCTATTAAATACTTTGGTCTTTGGTCAATATTTCTCTTCGATATTTATACACATACTGTAATTTGTACACACACAAATATACAGACGTACATGCTTCTGTACGGTATAGATGTGTATGCATGTTTCACATTGTTTCTCATAAAGGACTTTTTGCACAAAACATCAAAATTAAAATAAATAACCTAATCTGAAACAAAAACATAAGTACCTGCATTTATATTCTCCTGAAATAAAATAACAGAGGAAAAAAATAGGAGAAAATGCCTTATGTACAGCGTTTTTCTTCGGCGACAAAAGGCCTTTGTTAAATAAACAGACTTTGCATCTTTCAAGTAGCCTGAGAAAGAGGCTTAAAGACAGAAACAATCGTCCTTCAGAGTGTACAGCCAAACATGTCACTGCTGCATGACAACTCCCTATCCCGGAGTTTATATTTTCTTTCTGTTCATATTTTTGTACGTATGCAATTTTTTTCCTTCAAGTGATGACATGGCTACTTGTTTGACTTCAGTTTGTCTTGCGCAACCTTCCTCCACGATGTTTCTGGAGACGTATGGGATTCAGAGGAATGCTAACACGCTGCTAACTGCTGGGCGGTCCATCATTCAGGAAGTATGTGGTCATCTCCCCCTTGCCTTTGACTTTTATGACGCCACGGCACTCCAACTGGTACCCTTTGCTTGCTAACACTTGGTGCAGGTCCGTGGTTACCTGCAAGAGTCATATGGTAACATAGCAGATCATCAACATTCAATTAACTGTGTGCCAGATTAAACTGGAATGAAGGAAGTGCATCACTGTATAGAAAGAAATTTGTTACTATTAGTGCTGTCAGTGATGCATGAACACGCAAACATGTCATTAGTTTAACACTGGCAATATCAGTAACGTTAGCACTTGTGGATGCCTTTTACAAGACTACACTGGACGGTGTACTATGAATATTATGAACTATGAATAAATCAAGCAGCAAACTAACAAAAGCAACAACAAAGCAGAAGTCTACATTTAACCTCAAAATAAAATATAATGTAGCGTTATAAAAGAGAGAGGTCTACAACTGCAAAGAAGTCAGTGCACACATAATTTAAAAAAATCTTTCTTTAGGGTAAATTTTAAGCTAATAACAACTGTAATTAATCAAAATGAACCACACAAATTAATTTTATTAATCACAATTGTTTGACAGCCCTTGGTAACATTTGACTTGTGTCACAACGAACCAGGAGTATGCTTAAATCTGTAATGCAATATTTGCTATACAACACTACTGTTTTATGTTCATATGCAGATTAAAGTAAATGAACAATTTGCACTTATTCAACCCAAATCTTTTTATGACACATCCTTTTATCACATATTCAAAAACAGTACACATTCAGGACATTGATAACTTTCTAATGTATCATCAGGCCAGCTTTTCAAATCTTAAAACAGCAACTCTAAATTCAACTTGTCTGAATGAGACTCAGTCATTTATTGCACCTGAATGCGATCTGGTACCCCCGTGCTGTCCATGCGACTGGCCACATTTACTGTGTTTCCCCAGATGTCGTACTGGGGCTTCCTGGCTCCAATAACCCCAGCTACTACTGGCCCAATGTTTAGTCCTGTAGAGAATGAGAAATAATGAACTGTTACAAATTGGGTGTTTCTTACATGAGAATACAATGATGGGTTTAAATCAATGCATTTTAAAGTGCAGTAAAGTTTAGAGGTCATAGTGAAAAATAAATGTTTCTTGCTACTACAAATTATTCTCCCCTACCAATCTTCATCTGGAAGTTGTTGAAGGAGTGCTCGTTAATGTATTTCATCTGCTCGCGGAGCCTCATGGCGTAGTCCGCAAGCGCTGTGATATGAGTGCGGCCCTCTTTGTCATAGGTGGAATCGTTCAGGCCTGAAGCTGCCATGTAGGTGCTGCCTATGGTCTTAATCTTTTCCAGCTGCCTGTATTTCTCTTCACTGATGATCTAAAGGATAGTAAAAGACACAGATTAATGGTTTACAGAGCATGTTTACAGAGGTTTACAGAGATTGGACACTTTAAAGGGGCATTTCACCCCAAAACTAGCATTTAATGTTATATGTCATGTTATCCAGCTTCCTGTAGCACAGCACCCCTTAACTTGGGGATGGGCAATATGATGATATTTTATCATTATTGTGATAAATTATGTCACAATATGCATTTCTGGGCATATCATGGATATCGTCAGTACTTAAAACACTGACTACCACGTTTCTTTACAAACTGAGCATAATTAGGCCTGTTTAATTAGATTTAATGCAGTGTGGTTTGCAAAACATTGTTTAAAATTCTCTGTAGTTGAAGATTATTGTTATTATTTATTTTTTTATTACATTTTATATGTGGCAGTACAGGTTTTAATCTTATAAAAATTAATACAGTTTTAAACCCTACAATCTCACTCTACAGACTATTGTGGCAACACCGAAGAAAGCAAGTAGGCATGTTCAAAACAGATGTAGTAATGTGGTCAAAGTGCCCCTTGAAGAAAGGTCACAAAAGAAACCTTTGGCCTGCACGGATTCAAGCATGTCTTTCTGTTGTCACTGTTCTACAGTATACAGGAATCAAAAGCTTCACAGTTATTTGGTGGGCATTCTTCATGTATATTGTGTATTCTTACATATATTCTGTATTATTATGTATATTCTTGCTGTGTATACACCAATCAGCCATTACATTAAAACCAACTAATTTCTACACTCATTGTTCATTTTATCAGCTCCGTTTACCATATAGGTGCACTATGTAATCCTTCAATTACAGACTGTAGTCTATCTCTTTCTCTGCATATTTTGTTAGCCCCATTTTACCCTGTTCTTCAGTGGTCAGGACACCCATGGACCCTCACAGAGCAGGTACTATTTGGGTGGTGGATCATTCTCAGCACTGCAGTAACACTGACGTGGTGGTGGTGTGTGTTGTGCTGGTACGAGTGGATCAGTCACAGCAGTGCTGATGGAGTTTTTAAACTCCTCAGTGTCACTGCTGGACTGAGAATTGTCTACCAACCAAAAATATCCAGCCAACAGCGTCCTGTGGGCAGCGTCCTGTGACCACTGATGAAGGACTAGAAGATGACCGACACAAACTGTGTAGCAGCAGATGAGCCATCATCTCTGACTCTACATCTACAAGGTGGACCGACAAGGTAGGAGTGTATAATATAGTGGACAGTGAGAGGACACAGGGTTTAAAAACTCCAGCAGCACTGCTGTGTCTGATCCACTCGTACCAGCGCAACACACACTAACACACCACCACCACGTCAGTGTTACTGCAGTGCTGAGAATGATCCACCACCCAAATAGTACCTGCTCTGTGAGGGTCCACGGGGGTCCTGACCACTGAACAACAGGGTAAAAGGGGGCTAACAAAGTATCAGAGAAACAGATGGACTACAGTCTGTAACTGTAGAACTACAAAGTGCACCTATATAGTAAGTGGAGCTGATAAAATGGACAATGAGTGTAGAAACAAGGAGGTATTTTTAATGTTTTGGCTGATCGCTGTATGCGTAGAAAAAGTCATGAAGTCATAGCTCAGAGGCAGCGCTCAATCAAATGTCAGAAACTGTTCTGACAGAAAGCTTTGTATAAAGACTGTTCTGTTCAAAACACTACACATCTCACTTCCATGCTTTTTAAATAATCAAATACTGATTAGCTGATTTTACCAGCTCCTTAACAACTGTAATGGCTATTTATGTTATGTAGGCAGACTTAGACACAACAAAACCTCAACTCCCCAGACATGTTTTCCGTACTTGGCCATGTTTTGTCTAAAACTGGAGGTGAGGTTGCAGCAGATGGAAGTTGAAAGAATTGCACAGAACAGAGGTGTAGTACTTTCTATACAGAAGATTCAAAGCCTGATGATTGAGACAGTAAAGATGGAAAGACAGTTAATAGACCTCAATCAGTGTCAGAAATGCTTTAACAATTCTAAAGTTGAAGTAATGCTCCCCCTCCCGCCCATCACTTCACAGCCAACTTCCAACTCCTACCTCATCAAAGTCAGCAATAATTTCATTGAGAAGTCTCAGGCACTCCACGCCTTCGTTGTTGGCCTCAAGCTCCACATAGAACTCAGAGAAGTTGCTGATGGAGGCAAACATGACAGCCACACACTCGCACGACTGGTAGTAGAGCTCGTCGTTCCTGCGTTCGCGGGCCAGAAAGTGGGCTGCCACGTCTTTGGGCAGGATGTTATGGAGGAGGCGGCGGTTATATGCCTGCAACTCCTCCATTTCCTCTTTCTCCTCTGTGGCCTAAGAAGATGACAACTCCAAATCAAGACTTCAAAAGGGCCAAAACGGACCAGAAAGACACTAAAGATTGGCATATTTATATTTTCATTTTGTTGAAAGCTTTATTTAACCAGGCGAGTCATTAAGAACAATTTCTTTTTTTACATTGGCAGCCTAGCAAAAGGCAAAGCCTCTCGAGGGAGAGGGGCTAAAAAAAACACACACAACTTATAATAATCACAAATCCTGCAACATATCACAAGCACTATGTAAAAGCCATACTGTCTGACACACAAATCAAACAATACCAATTCCAAAAAACATATACCAGAGAAGTGGACTCAAGTCAGCTACTCAGACTCGAGTTGCATAATGACCTGACTTTAGATTTAAAACTTGCCAAATTTTAGCCAGAGGGAGGGGAAAAAGCATGAACAATACTGATGGAATTAGGATCATGATTATGGAAATAAATAAACCTTATGTTTCCAAGCTTACATGTGATTTTGCCTTTTTAATTTTATTACAGTTATGTGCAGTCTTGGGGGTTAAGGGCATTGTGGTATGGGTACTGCCCCCTACACACTGCACATAACATACTTACTTTGGTAACAGTAGTTACAAAATGCTCGCTTTTTTTTTCTTGTTGGTGCTCTTGTTTTGTTTGAACAATGAACTATCTGCAATAAATGCCACATACGTCACTGACACTCCAGTCCAAATTCAGGAAACAGAATTGCAGTTATGCTGTTCTCACAGTTCACAGCGGCGTCAGGTCTGATATGGCTTCAAACAAACTAAAAACTTTCCGCCTCACAGAACAAAAACGACTAAAAAATTGTTTCAGTTTATTTTATTTGGACTTGCATGAAGCGTCATGTAAACATCTCAGACGCAACACAACCAATTTTGAAAGTAGACAGCATTTACAGCTAACGTACTTTTTTTTTAACTACTTTTTTAAGTTTACAGCATTATTTTTTTCATTTCTTGTTTTCTTGTTAAAAGCGTTCACACACTAGACAGTTAGACAAAGACAGAGTATCACATGTACCATCAGTTTTGTTGCAACATACATGCTACATAAAACAAAATGAAAAAAGTCAATCTGCAAAATCTCATTATCACATGACACAAATGAAGATGGAGCTGTACATATTAAATCTTGCTGGTGTCTTTTACAAACAAGAAGTGTAAGAAGATACAAGCTTTGAATGGGGGGATGATGGTTAGGAAAATGCAGACAACATTCCCTGCATATTCTGCAGTGAGAACTACTGGTAAGCAATTTTTTAGCCCCGATCTTCTCTGTCACTCTGCCTGTGGTGATCTTTACATTGTGCATTACATTCTAAGGAAACGTCTGTGTTTGCCAGAGTTCCATAAGTTTTTCCTCCAGCTCTGCACCCACTACACATGCAGACTGCTTGTGTGTTTCTTGATGATCTCTTTTTTGTTTGTTTCTTCCTTGCTCTATCATTAGCATCTCCCTGTACAAGCTGTCCAATGAAGTTGAGTTTATCATTATGAATTATGCATGTTTTCAGTACAAATCAAACATGTTCAAAAATATCTGGAGGCCTGTGATTATTCCAGACCTAGACTGGAAAGTGACTCTAAGATTTCGAATCTGGGTCCAAGATTAGCCCTCTTATATCTCATTTGTGCTGACAACCTTGTAAATTCACTTCTACCTTTGAAAAATGGCTGAAAATCTCAACGAGCACAGTACCTGGAGCTTCCAGAGAAAGTCGAGACGCGCTGTGGACTCCACCTGCTGGGCATGGAGATACAGCGCCAGCACAAACACTGTGAGGATCACTGGGGTCATGACCTTTAGGGACACTTTGGTCACACTGTAAGGACTGCACAAAAAAGAAGCAGTCTCACACACATACGTTACTCCTTGATATTAAAATAAATCATCAATCAAATACTCTAGATTTCAAATCTCCTATACCAAGGATATCTTTACTGAAGGGAATGAAATATATTCCAACCTACCACTGGTTGGTAGTTTCATTGAGATTCAACCTGTACAAAAATAAAGACTATTAGAATTCCATTATGCAAATTACTAAAATCAGATAAACAGAAAAAAAAAAAACTTACCCCTCAGTTTCATTGAAAATTCTGAAAAAGAATAGAAAGGGATCATCAATTTCCTTTAGAAAATACTTCTTACAAAATATGGCATAATAAGAAGTTTATTTTCAGCTTAGATCAATTATAAAGTCATCACATATTTATCCTTTTATTTTCAATAACAATTTGTAGAGCCCTCCAAATTATATTTTTTACACAGCTATTTTTACAACATTGTCACAAAAGAGTTTAACTGAAATTCAGGTCGAGAATATCAGTATGAATGCATCTACAAAGCAGAGTTGCTTGCTCCTGTTTCCACTGTGCCGCCTGGTGGCTGGGAGTGGTACTCACAGGGCATTGGAGGTGACGAAGAGGTCAGCGTTGTCAAACAGCGCCACCTCTGGCCACTCCACGAGCAGCAGGTAGGTGAGTTGGATAAGCAGCATGAGAGCCAGCTTTCCTATACTACTGATCTGCAGGAACACTGAGCAGGCCAGCAGGGTCAGGAGCACACTGTAGCTGAAATACTGAGAGAGAAAGAAATATACCAATAATGTGATGGAGATGCTGCTATATACAGTGACTGAAACAGAACTACACAAAAAATTACATCAACGTGTGAGAATTATGTTGTGGTCATACAAATTTACTCCAGCTAACTCATCCTGTGCATTGTGAATAGCAGTGTTCATAAACGACTGACAGTATAATAGGTTCATCTATTTTTTTAATCTATGGCATTAAAGGAATAGTTCAGGAATAAATCAAGAAGTAGTTTTCCTCTTCCCTTTACCTCAAATGTAGAAGAAGACAAAAATATGGATAAAATTTAGTACATAAAAAAAAGATTTTTACTATTTGTTTTTTTTAAAGTTATGATTTAGTTTTTAATAATCATTGGAGTCTGTTAGCATGGTAACTCAGTTAACAGTCACCAGGCACAGACCTTTAAAGGCTTACCTATTTCATAATCTCTCAAGTCCTATATGGATGGGAGAAATTTTTACGTAGCAAGGTGAAGAATGTAATTTTACCACAGAACATCTGTGACCCTTGGTAACCATGTAACATGGGATAAACAATTTGGGGTGGCTAATTAATTTACACACTGCCTTAACTCCAACAGTGTTTGTTTGCGCATGAATAGAAAACATGCCCAAAATTTAATTTAATAGTAACTTACCCTAACCCTAAAGTAGATTACCCTAACCCTGTCATTAGTGAATACAGTGTCATTAGCATTTTCGTTTGTGTAAAAATTTACAGCCAACATTTAACATCCACACATAAAATCAAACTTTGTCATTTTACTTATTTTAATGTTCTGAGTTTTACACATGAAGCAGGAAAATCCACTTCAATCCACTTCATTTGGGTGACAGAGAATACAAGTAAATGACATGCTGGATTCTGACATGGCTAAAATCACTGAGAAACAGTGGTCATAACTATATTACCTCACCTCATCATCTTAATCCTGTCTGAACACTTACACACACCCAGACAAACACACTTACTTCGGGGAAGGGGCATGAGGGTGTGTCACTGGGGCAAATGTCCAGGCCATCTTCAGCAGAGCGAGAGAGGTTGTAGATAATACAGGGAGTCACCATGTCTGTTGAGGAGTTCAGCTGAGTAGCTACACAGTCCACAAGCTTCTCTGTGTCACATGCAAACTGCACACAAACACACACACACACACACACACACACACACACACACACGGTTCATATTCAAATCCCAAACATAAAATATCTATTTATAGCTCCACACCCTTGATTGTCATTCATCTGATTCATATCATGCAAATAAGTTTCACATTTGCCATCTATCTAAAGGCTGCTTTTGAGAATGAGGTAACATTTTATTAAAGTAAGACTGCATTTCGTGGGTGGTGCTCTTCACTGCACTGGGACGTCTGGCTGCGTACCATATTGACAAAGGCAGAGATGAAGACAAGGATGATGGTGAAGACGCCCACCAGGGTGCTGTTGGTGCGAGACTGAACAATCTTCTTGGACACAGTTTGCATGGCAGCAGGGAAGAGCTGGGGAAAAAAGAGCATGAGGGAGATTCAACAAAATGTGAGCTGTAACATCAGACTGTACATCGTACCACATATTACACAGTAGTAAAACAATATCTAAGGCTGGATTTACACAGTGAATGTTTCATTAAACTTTAGTTCCTTAAAATCCACATGAAACTAAACTGTACTTCAAGTGCAAAATGTAAGGCATCCTGCAACTCACCTGAAACTCAGCCACAACAGTTGCAAGCGTACTGACATCAATCAAAATGCCATCAATGTGTTTATTCTTACTTGGTAGCCTGCTGTTATCATGATTTATGTAGCTAGATTCATTTTCTACTCCCTTAATGACCCTTAATTTTATGCACAGCTTAGATTCTTTTGGGTGCAAAAAAAAAAAAATTACAGAATGGGGGGACTAACATGCAGTCTGTGATGAAAATTGTGCTTCTAGGACAGTATCAGCAAGGCATCAGGTAGGCTATAACCCATAATGGTTACTTCTACATTTATTTTTAAGGCTTAACATACAACAGATACAAAGGTAAATATATAGAGTGAAGAATCCTAGATAGAAAAGAACGATAATGACAGCTGGGAAAAATAAACAGGATAAAAACGCTGCAAATATGTAAATTACATCTGGCGGATGACTTTATATAGTGAAAACAATAAGGTGTATCAAACAATACGAGCAGCTAATTAAGCCAAAGAGTGGAGTAATCCAATCCATTGCATGAAAGTTTGTTTTTGAATTGCATGAAAGCTATGCTGCAGACAACTGGTTGCAAGAAAGTTTCAAAGTTTTACAATGTAAAGCCAGCCTTTATTTGGCCAAACTGACAAAAGTACATTAAAATGGAGTGGAAAAAAAACTATTTAGATTTACACAAAGTTGCCAGTTTATTTTATACACCTAGTTGCTACATACTCACTGGCCATTTTATCAGTTACTACCACCCTACAGTATTGCAGGACTGCTGAGCAGGTTTTATTTGGGTGGTAGATCAATTCTCTTAAGTGTTGACCTCAAAATGGTGTAAGTGTTAGTGTGTGTTAAACTGGTACAGTGTATCAGGTGCACCTCGGTGTCCTGTTGTCAGAAATGGAAGGTGAAGGACAACAAACAAATTACGCATGAAAAAGTCTACAGTCTCCAACGATCCACCTACAGGGTGGACCAACAAGATATGTGTGTTTAATTAAATGGACAGTGAGTGTTTAAAAACTCCAGTAGCACTGCTGTATCTCAAACCTATGTCCAGTACCATGTTAGTGTCACCGCTGTGCTGAGAGTAGTCCACCAGCTAGAGGTGGGTGATATGGCAAAAATATATTATCTTGACACTTGGAGATGTTTTTGTGATACACAATAATTATCACAAAATTTGAACTGATACAGACAAGAAGCCTGAGTAGAGCCACTTTTAGAAAACACTGTCAAATCCTATGACTAAGGCCCAATCCCATTTCACCCCTCGCCCCTACCACTTAGCCCTTAGCCATCTATCTTGTGTGTTCACATCTAAGTGTAGGGTGTCCTGATTCTTGAGATAGAGGGGTAGGGTGAAGTGTTGGGCCTACATGGCCCTCCAAACGGAGAGTTATGAGAAAAAAACAGGAAAACCGGATGGCTGAACAAGAGACCAAAGAAACCTACAAATGTGAGAATTTTCTCTGTTAAACAATTATAATAACTATCGTGTTATCTTAGTTTAATGTCGTTTCAGTGGATTATGGTCATTTTCTTCATAACAGGCACAAAAAATCGCTAATAACATGCTAATGTCTTGGCAGCTAGCTAGCTAACTTAAATAGTCCAGCAGGTTCGCCTACAGAGCAGCGCTAGTAGCTGTTAATGAAGCAGTGTTTGTTCTTTATTTAATTTGAGAGTCCCATTTCAACCACTACCCCTTGTAACTCAGTTCCAAGGGGTTAGGCTGACACTCGAAAACAAGGGGTAGGGGTAAAAAAGAAGAAATGGGATTAGGCCTACGTCTTCAGCATCTCAATAAGTTGACAATAAGGAAAAAAAGCATTGTAACGTCATATGGCACAACTCATTAACAATAATTGTTATCATACTGGCCATTCCTACCACCACCCACATAATATCAGGTCAGCGGATGTCCTGCTGATGGTCCAATTCAACATGGACAGGGTATGGGGGGCTAACAAACTGTGCAGCAACAGATGGGCTACAGTCCAACTACAAACCTAGAGGGTTTACATATTTAATAGCTGTACCTGATAAAATGAATGTGGATAGAGGTAGATAGATGTAAACTGGCAACTCAGTGTAACATAGATTGAAAGAAGGTGGCCGTACAGTTGCATGTAAAATTTTGGGCCCTGGTCAAATCACATATTTTGTTAATTTTTTCTAAGTAAAAATAAGTTAACGCGTCCTCTACAGAGAACTCACTTCTGCACATTTTAATGCAAACTTACTGTTTATTTGCTGAATTTAACTAATAAAATTTGAACATGGCCTGTGCGATTAAGGCACATTATATATTTTATCTTTTGTTGTTCCAATATGTTCCAAAGCTCAGAAAAAAACAGAAATTGGACACTAAAATTACAGAAAAACATATTTAATCTTTTCATATACATATTACCTCTTATTTATCTTACTTTTGATTAGATATCTTCATTGCTCTTGGAAAAGCAACCCAGGTGTCTCTGTGGAGGATGTATTAACTTATTCAATTAGAAAACAAATCACGTAATTGAATGGGAGGGTATTCAAACTTTTGAATATGGCTGTATGGGGATTTGTGTGTGAGGGAGAGAGAGAGAGAAAAGCAGAACATTAACTTTGCCTTACCTTTACACAAGAGTAAATGGCACAGATGAAGAGGATGTTGGCGAGGATGATGAAGATACTGATGTAAATACCCAACATAACTGGCGTACTAAAGAAACAGCAGAGAAATAGCTTTAGACTTTAGAGTATATTTGTGTGTGTCTGTGTGTATTTGTGTGTGTTTGTGTGTGTTTGAGCAAGTGTGTCTGCTGACCACTCACTGAGGGAAGATGACAATCTGAATGAAGGAGATGAAACAAAAGACCAGCAGCGTACAGGCCACATAACCTCCAAAGCGATCGTCCACCTTCTTCGCATACTAAACACAGGGGAGAAAAAAATCATTACCCCTCAGGCAGCAGTAAAGCGGATTTCTACCGAGAGCGTTAGGATGTTATGTTTTATTTGAATCACTGGCTTTGAGCCGCACCTTTTTCTCCAGGCTGGAGGTCTGGAAGGTGAGAAGGAATTTCTTCACGTGATCCTTACGCAGCTGGTCGATACTCCGCGCGTCAATGGCTCGGCCCAAAAACTCGTCAACCTCATCCTCCGGGTTCATGGTCTCCTGTGCGCCACGGCTGGGAGAGAGAGAGTGAAGAAAGAGAAGTGTGATAGACAAACAATCCATGAAAGAGATGCGTAAAATATATTAACATTCCTCTTATACTCCTCTTCTCCTCTTTCTGTTTATTTTTTTGAGAAAACAGTCCACACTCACTTGTCTTTACTGGACGTTTCATCAATACCCTGAAAAAGAACACAAATTTAAGCCAAGGAGGACAAAAACAGTTTTACAGAGACGTTCATGTAGAGAGAGAGAGAGCAAAAGACAGAGATAAAGGGAGAAAGAAAAGGAGAAAACACAGGCCGGGGACAGACAGGTACAGAGCAGGGCACAGGACACAGCAGACACAGGGAGAAGCAGAAGGCATAGGGATCTAACCATCTGTCGGAAGACTTTGGAGTCCTTGGTCCTGGAGAAGGATCGGTCAGGCACCCAGCGAGGCATCAGGGCCTCGTTGGAGTTTGCACGTGCACGCTGCATTTTTGCCATCATCGCCTTCTCCTCTTTCTGCAGGGTTCAGTTTGATAGACAAAAAAACCTTTCATTGACTAAAGTGCAATTACTTCTTTGAATGAAAAAGCTGGCGGAGAACATATTTGTTCAATGGAATGATGGTGTGAGTTTTTTTTAACTAATGTTGTGGATATTTACAGTACCATTCAAAAGTTTGGAGCCAGTTGATTGAATGCATGTTCTTCATAATCCTGATGCTATAGTTTAGCCACAGTTTTTAGTTTTTATGATTTTTTTTTTTTTAAGATTTTTCCCTTAACACACAGTCGATCACCCAAGATATCTTTGCTGACCGAAGTTTGCTGCTTTAGTTTTTTCACTGGATGAAGACAATACAGTTAACAAGTAACCATGTAACTACAAGTACACTGCATAGCTAAGGAACTGCAGCCACCTAGGAAGTCTAAACTGTAGCATACTTTTTCCCACTTTTCGATTTGGGGGGAAGGAGAAGTGCAAATTCAGATTTTTTGGCTGAACTGTTCTTTCAATCCCACAGTTAAACATATAGAGTTTGTTGATTGTGCTGTGAAAAAGCTTGCTGTTCATATTTTCAGTGCAAGTCAATGTAGAACATTTCTCTTTTCAATGATATGGAATTCATCCATCATAGATCAATAGTCAAAAAGGGGTCTGTAAAAAAATTGAGAAAAATAAACAGTGCCTACACATCTAACCAAATTAAGCCAGACATCAATTCAACTTTTCCTTCTTCAGCTTGTCATCCAGCAATTGGTAGCTGCCAAATAACATCATCTCATTAGGTGAATTAGAAAATGTAAAATATTTTTTGGTGTTTATTAGGTTGGGTTGTATTAGCCTGGCAAAATTTGGTAAATTATTTGGTAATTATTGTATTATATTTGCGTGCATTTTAAATGATCAGGTCAGTTTAATCTTGCGGGCTGCACCAGCTTTTGCGGTCGGCTGTGGGGCTGTGAGTTGCAAAAGGTTGAAAACTCCCAGATAACAGAGTCAGATCTCCACTGTTAAATGCTTTAAACTCAAATAAACAGCAGAAACTCACAGCCTTAAATAAGATCAACACTGTAGCACTGCACTACCCAGTATTCTTTGCGTTTCTCTTTTGGTTTCTCTTCATTACCTCTCATTTATCTTACTCTTCATTAGTTATCTTCATAAAAAGGAACACGTATCAGGTTATTCTCATGCTAAAAATTAGGTCTGAATATATTTCATAGGTTTTTATTACCATAACAATGACAGTTCAGCCTGTATTACTGTCATATAGTTACACATGGGGTGGTTTACACTGGATTCCTAAGTGGCACAGCCTTCTAAGGATTTGCCTTTTTATCGGGAGGTGAGTTTCCATCCCATAACAAAAACTCAAACAAATAAAAAAAATATCAGCATGTTATCAATGACACTTTTACCAATAGTATTAAACTGTGGGTTATCAATATCTGTTGATACAATTAGTTGAACTAACTATCTGGTCATAATATAAATACAAAAAAAAGGAATATATTTTCTGACATCAAAACTCTTAAGCACATGTAGAATTTCAGGTCTGTTGGAAAAGGAACCCAGATGACTCCTCAAAACGTTAACTGAAAGAATGAAAGGCTGCAAAAAATCAAGATTCATTTTGATTTTTAGTTACTCCATAATTCCACAACCTTAAATGTAAAAAAAACAGCAAAAATCAAGAATTCCCTTCTTCAGTATATCTCTCCAAACTTTTGGTTGTTACTGCATGTATATACTAGTTTAACATGTATTTTTACAAGGAAACCCAAAAGAGGGCTCTGTTTACATCACATACAAAATACAGGACACACAACATGTTATGTAACATAAGCACTCCATATAGGTAGTGAGTGGTTCTGTGAGGTTGGCCATTTAGATGGAGACACTGACCCGTTTCTGACTGCAGCCCAGCACCAGGAACGTCTCGATACTGTTCTCTTTAAGGTAGGCGTTTCGCTCCCCTCCAAAACCTGGCTCCACCTCGTAGTCCCCATTCAGGTACTGCAGGGTAGCTTTGGTAATGTGGATCCTCCTGAGGAGCATCACATATAAACATACACATGGATGGCAGTTATTGTTTGCTTACACACTATTACTTTCATGCATTCAAGTGCTTAACAGTAAAACACAACAGCATGAAGTTAACAAAAGTTAACTGCTTTTTAAAAGTAATAATAGTAGGTGCCTGACTATTATTAATTGTTAATGAGTTTAAATCTTTAATAATTTTTCATACGTATGATCTACATTCTAACATTTATTTACTTAATGAATTTCTGTTGAAAACATTACAGAATCAGAGTCTGTGTCATATATGATTTCTCTCTGCATTTGTACAGTAAATACATAATGTATCTCTGCATCTCTCTGCTGCTGGCGTGTTGACACGAATGTGCTTCTGTGATGTATTATGTATGTGTTTTGTGTGCTCAGCATGTGTGTCCCACCCTGCTTTTCCTCCAGCCTCCATGTGATTGGCCAGGGTGACGTCATTAGACCACACGTCAAACTGCCACTTCCTCAGTCCCAGAACTCCGCAGTGCACACGGCCGCTGTGGATGCCCACCCGCATGTTTACATTCACCCCTGTAACCTCTCGCACAAGCCTAAACAAACACAGACACACAAAACATGTACACAATCGATCAATACTCAAATCCATATCCCATTAAAGCATTCATGGCATAAGCAGCGCTAACAGCTCTGCACTTAGCAGGCCGCTACATCTGATCTGTATCAGATTAAACATTAACAGTGGGGTCATTGTTTCACAGAACATTCTTTCTGACCTTTTGACTCTTTATAATATTTGGCAAAATTCTCCTCACAGTCTGGCAGTTCTCTACAGAATATATGCATAAAGGAGAAAAATAAGTCTTCATGGTGAAACATATTTGTTGGCAGAAAAACAAATAATACGGCTCACCAACATCCAACACAACAACCAATCAGGACGAAAAGGCATCACTTGTGCATGCAGCTAGTTCAGTCTTCTAAGACATAAAGCCGGGAAAAATAACACCAAAATCGCCAATTCTAACCACAATGGCTTCCGGCTGATTAACTTCAGTGCTTTCTTTGACTCAAAGTGTCTGAGTTCAGCTGTCCTCTTCCTCTTTCTATCAGTTTATCTATACATCTTTCTTTCTCTCAGTGTCTCTGTCCCTCATTCTTAGTGTCCCTCTCCCTCTTTCTCCATGTCTCCATCCCTCTAACCCTCTTTCTTTCTGTGTCTCTGTTCTTCTTTCTCTTTCACTCAGTGTGTCTGTCCCTCTTAGGCCTAATCCCATTTCTTATTTTTACCCCTACCCCTTGTTTTCGAGTGTCAGCTTAACCCCTTGGAACTGAGTTACAAGGGATAGTGGTTGAAATCTTCCCTCTGAAATGGGAGCCTCAAATAAAAAGAGCATCACTTCATTAACAGCTACCAGCGCTGCTCTGTAGGCGACCCGGTCCGCCTTCAGTGACGGCAGAGGAGGGTAAAGTTCAGCTCCTCACTGCTGGGCTTTAGTTACATTTAGGGACTCATATGCCTTCTTAGTGTCTCTGTCCTTCTTTCTCTGCCTCTCTGTGCCTCTAGAGGCAGCTGGTTTTGCAGTCTTTTAAAACCAGGTGTTATTATGAGATTCCTTTAACGGCAGGAGTCACTCGAACATATGCTGAAAAAATATTTACCAGGAGAACAGAACTACTTTTACTCACAGGATCAGATGTACATGTGTGAGAAGATGCAGTGCAAAACATGCTTTGATCCAACCATGGCATGCTTTCACAGTAGATGTTGTTGTTTTCCCAAACTGTATTTTTTTTGACTGGAGAAGAAGAGGCTCCACTTTTTCCCTTAAATTCTGTGTTCTGTGCACAGTTTGCGTGATTAGCTATAGCCTCAGTAAATCTGACATTAATTTTAGACACATTGTGGGTTTATACTGCGCTCGCATACACAGTCGTTTTGTGCTGTGTCTGTGCTCATGTGTACATCTGGCCCTCAGTGTCTCTGTCCCCTGCTGAGTGAGTGACACTCACGAGATGGCCTCGATCATGTCCACTCCCATCTCAACACAGCAGTGAGCATGGTCCGCTCTGGGCTCTGGCAGGCCAGACACACAGTAGTAGCAGTCCCCCAGGATCTTAATCCGCAAGCAGTGGTTTTCCTACACACACACATACACACACACACACACATACACAGAAAAGAGAACAGGAGTTAATTCTAGAGCTCAGGCCGGAGGGGGCAGTTTCACGCTGAGGTGCGGAGAGCTCAGTCATCCTGATCACCGTGTGAGGGAGTGTGCAGATCACCAAGCACTTAACACCTGTCAATACTCTTCAAATCACAACAGGCACAGAAAGTTAGGATAAACTCTTCTTATGAAATTCTCCTCCTTTTTCAGTCTCTTTACTGCTACCATGAATTGATAAAGTCAAACAAAGTCACTTTATTGATTTACTGATCCTATAATCTTTCTCTCAAGACTACTCCATATGCAAATACCAGATATATTTTAAACATCTGAAAAATGTTTAAAATAATGGTGCACACAATAATTATTCAGAAACTTTTGGGGTATTTAATATACTCCCAATCATATATTCACTTCAAATTTACATATGTATCATTTGACTTTTGCTCATAAATGTGAACGGGCAAACATCAGCAAAGATATGTTTAAAAACTGAAAAAAGTGATCAGACACTACATTAAATATCACTAAAAACACTGGTTGGGAAGACTCACATAATCGTGATGAAGGTGAAAGAGCGTCCTAAAGTTTTCAGAGATCACTTTAAAATCCAACCACACAAAACTCCTCTGCTAAAGGAGGTGCGTGGATCAAATTTGCAAACAAGCATTTTGACAAACCAGAACTCATTTGGAACAATGTACTCTGGACAGAAAAAAAAACAAAATAATAAATATAGAACAAACAAAAACAAAAAAATATAGAAGCCCTTGGCAGTATTTTAGCTAATCATGTTTGAAGAGAGAAGGGTTGTGCATATAATCTCAAGAACAGCACACCCACAGTGAAGTACAGAGGTGGGAGCATCATGATGAGGGCTGCTTCTCTGCAAAGGCTGCTGGGGCAGTAGCAAGACAAATTAGAGGAGAATTTAATTTCATTGGCCAGGGATCAGACAGATACAGCCAAAACTCAAAACTTAGAAAAAGATCACTAAAAACGATAAAGTGAAGGTGTTTACATAGCCTAGCCAATATCTTGACTTTTGAAATTAGAGGTTTACTGTAGACCTCTCATAATTACCAATGGCAACTTTGCAACTACTAACATTATTAATTTGTGGTATCTAAATATTTTTATATCCCTATTAATTTGTTTTTTTAAAACATATCTGTGTTTATGATAATGAGTACATACTTTTGGTCATATTTATAAGTACAAAGTCAGAAGACAGTGGGTATATACACAATAGATGTATTAAAATAACAAAAACAAAAGTGTCTGAATACTTGTTTTCCTTCACTGTATAAGCAATATTCCCACTTCTGAGAATCTGGGCTCAATGCTTACCGAGGCTAATTTGTCAAAACGGGCAAACAATTCATTTAGAGTCATCACCAGCTCCTGAGCTGTGCACTGAGACGCCAGGCTGGTGAAACCCTCAATGTCTGCGAACAGAATACTGAGAGAGGGAGAGAGACAGACAGAGAGAAAGACAGAGAGAGAGAGATGAAGAGAATTTAAAATTAGGACCTGTTCTTGTGCATAACAGGTTAGAAAGTTCCTTCTCAAACACAGAAACAGAGGCTACCAATATGAGAGGACACTCCATCAGTGTCTCTGCTAGCGCTTGTATCTGTGCTCCACTGAAACTTTAATATCTCACTGTGCAGGAGCAGAATCTGCCAACTCGCGGCTGTAACTGCACGCTGTGGCACTGAAGCACATTTTAGCAGAAGCACTCAAAGTTTCAACACTAGCTAGTGCTGCTGGTAATTAACCACTCTCTTCCTAAATGTAATTAGCCTAAAAAGCAAAAACCCCAGTGGCACTACTCCCCAGCTCCTCGTCATCGAGCAAGAGAACGAGGGGGGCAAGAGAGAGAAAGTAGGGAGAAACACTAAGCGGGGGTGAGGTAGCAGAAAGGGAAACTATGTTAGCTACAAGGCTAATGGCCTGAAGTGGCTCTGGAAAGCTGCTGAACTCACTAACCTGATAAGAGGTCATGTGACTCCATATTGCTTCCTGCCTCCAATATAATGGCTGACTAAATGTTGTGACAAATTAATGTTCAATTTGTTTCCCACTGGTGAAGATGCTATCAAGCGGCACAGTTAGTTGATTAGGGAACACAATGGGGAAAGAAAACACGCTTGAACGTATAAAAAGAAAAGCATAATTGGTTCAGCTGGGCAGTCAGTTGACAGCAGGCCAGTGCTAACCTGACGTTGTCGTGCTTCTGGATGTAGATCTTGTGGAACATCATGTCTTCTTTCTTAGCGTTGATGTCAGCCTTCATCTCCATGGCAACATGCCTTGGCAACACAGACAGCAACAGGCGTTCCTGAAAAATGTGCATGAAAGGGAGGCGTGGGGGAAAACAGAGGCAAAAGGAAAGAGAGAAGGAAGAAAGGAAGGAAAGAAAGAGAAAGAAATTAGACTCTAAAAGATTCCCCTCACAACCACAAATGCTAATGCTGGGCTCTCTCTCTTTCTGTCTTATTGAGTCCTAATTCTTCTTTCAATCACTGTTTATACACCTTGGTCATTATGTTATGTTACATGTCATGTGGGGCAAAGGTCATCACTGTAATGCTCGCCTCCTACTTGCTGTTTTTTGTGTACATACACTGTAATCCAGTGACACTTTATAAGAAGAGCTTAGTAAAGTCCAGTTGTCTGCAGTCTTTCTTTTAGCCCAAATGCAAATCATCAGCTAAGACCTGTTTCTGACACAGTATGACGCACTGTGGGCGCCCAGGTCAAATGACATTTGGTTGATTTTCTAAGTGAAAATACGTAAACATCCTCTACAGAGAACTCACTTCTGCACAATTTAATGCACAATTAAAAAACAGGTCTATTTGAGATGATTTAGATTTGCACTTTACACAAAGCTACGAGGAACGATTTTACCACTTAAAAAGCAATACATGAGTTAAAAAGAAAAGTTTTATCAGAACATTTGTATTACTTCCAATAATTCACTAACATTATTTTCATCATGTGAGCGCAGGCCTCACATGAACTGAAGCCCAAAAAGAAAACGTGAACACAGAGTGAACATGACAATATGGTAAACAAACCTTCAAAAACGTACCACCAGTGAGAACACCGGCGGCTGCATGTTCCAGCTTCTCCGTGATTCAAGCTCTCTTGCTCTCGTTCATATATCTTGTGGATTCTTGTTACAGTGGAGACTCGAGGGAAACTTTATTTGTCCACTTTGCTTTTGTTGTTTTGCTGCTTGTTTGGTTTCATCAAGACAGCCATCAGTGAAACTTACCATTTAGAAACTGTTTTTGAGTTTGAGTGCTGCACGGATTCTTTCACAGTAATATACAGCAGCTGTGAGCAGCTGGGCTTCAGTGAACACTATGGGTGGCTTAAAGGGTAAAAATAGGAAAAAGCTTTTATGCTGTTAAGAAATCAGCCTTATTAAAGTGTTAACTTTGAAACTAGTTAATAAAAGTCTCAGAGTTTAAGAGGTTGAGCAAATCTGGGGAAACGAGAATCAGTACCAGTGCTAGCACAGAACCAGTATGGGACTATAACCAGTACGGCCTCAGGGCGACTAACCTGCTGCTGGTTCTCCCTCTGCAGGTGAAGCCTGGCCTGAATGTAGCCTCGCGTCTCCTGGAAGGCCTGTCTCTGGGAGACCTCTGCCGGGTAGTGTGTGCAGATCCCAATGATGTTGGTGCACAGGAAGATCAGCACGTTCGCACTTAGCTAGAGAAGACGAAGGACAGTGGGGAGGGGTGAGAACACAGCAGAGATAAAGACAGAAACGAAGACAGAGAGAGGAGAAAAACAGGGTTAATTGCTGAGTGGAACACACAGCGTCTTTAGGAACAGCTGAATCTTCATGAGGGCTTCAACTCCACGCTCTGGAATCGTCCCGGGACTTTGTGTTCTAATTCTCTTGAGGCCTGCCCCATTGCAGCATGGGAAAAAGGGCCAACCTTTGACCTACAGAGGCCACTTCCTGTAAAATTGGGCTGCAGTTTACAGTCAGAGAGCCAAAGCCAGGCTAAATATGGAGCCTGAAGGAAAGCAAGTGCTGTCACTTCCTTTGGGTCAGCGACAGAGAGAGGTTAAGGAGAAAAGGGTCTGCGGTCACTCTAGTTTGTATTGCTCTGAAGTAATACAAGTAGTCACATCTAACGGGGGCCTGGATTCAACGTTTGAAATCTCCACATCTGAAATAAAACTGAAACTTATAACATCCAACAACACCAGCCTTTCCAACACAAGATGAATCCTAAAACATACTATCCACGATAATTTTTTATTAACGAAGATTTTTTACCAAAGCCTTTTTCTGCTCTATTTCAGTAGAGAATGATTTTACTACGTAGCAGAATAATAAGGCCAAAATCCCCTTTTGTACTGCCTTATGCTCAATCTCTCACCTCTCCTTCCAATGTTTGCCTTCGCACCTCTAAAGCACCCGCCTTTGTAACACCTCAAGTATTGGTTAGCTGTTCGTCTACTGTCTGGCAAACAGTAGTGTGAAACAATAAACACTGTTTGGGTGATTCAGTGGAATATGAATCAGTCTCAGTGTAATCAGTCTAAGAGTTTTGTGTTTACACTTCTACGGTATAAAGCAACCAGACAGTGGAGAAAATTCAAGAACAATTTATAAAGACACATTAACACCACTCACACATGCACTTCATTTACAATATTACACTGGCAGACTGCCCTTGAACATTAGATTTTTTTATTCTTTCATTATTTCATTGAGGTCCAAAATGCATTTTTACATCGCTGTGCAAGAGATAACAAAAACAAGGGATTTGATCTTCTAACCACATTTAAGTAGTTATTATAAAAAGTAGCCTCAATTATTTTCTGTTTTTGAGATATCTGTGCATCTGTAGGCCACTGTGTTATTTGAAATAGTCATTCTCATGGGGTTCATTTTGGGGGCGTCGTGAGAGGGCTGCTGGGAAGAAAGTACATCATCCCTGTATTTTTGAGAATGATTTTTATATAAAGCCTGATAATATCCTGTTGTCATTATAGGGTACAATAGAATGGCTGTGTGGCGCCCACACACTAAGCCAAAAAAAAGCCCAAAAACTAAAAGCCAAAATGTAATACTAACATTATTTTCAGTATTTTTATTGAGTTTGAATGACTTATGTAAACAATAACCTATATACTGAACCATACACACATATACAATAAAGACAATGTCAACAGGAAACTTTAACACATCATCTTCCATGTCATGACTTGTTTTCGAGTTCAGGGTCTGTGAGATAACTATGCATCTTACCTCAATAATAGGTAGGGGTGGTGGGAGGGGGAGGTGAAAAATGATGTTATTTTAACTTTTTTTTATTGCTTACTGGTGGACAGTGACAATCACAGGGAAGATGTTTTTGAGGTGGGAAAAGCTTGTTACATTGTAATGGAAGATTATAGCAGGAAAAAACTATAATGTCTTTAAATAATATAAATCACGTTTAATATTAGGGATGTGACAATAAGCAGTCAAAATAAATGATAAATCAAGACAATTATTGAAAAACACACACAAACCCACATGCATGAGCAAAACGGGTTGCAAAAAATTTATTCATGGTTGTTCTTTCATTCAAAATATGAATAAATATCTTTACTTGAAACTTTTTTTTGAAGTACAATGATTGAAAGAAAAAAAAAACATCCTTTCATGAAATAAATATTTTTCTCAAATCTACATTCACCAAGCACTTCATTAGGAAATAGTCAGGCCTCTCTTTGTTCTCAAAACCTCCTCAATTCTTCATGGCATTGATTCCACTAAATGTTGGAAACATTCTGCACAAATCAGGAAATGGCTACAAGAAAATAGCTGAGCAGTTGAAAATGCCCATTTCCACTATCAGGGAATCTCACTTCATACACGCCACCATCTTTTCTACTATCAGTGGAATCACACATCACGTTTGCCAGATGTTGCTGGAACTTTCAGTGGGACTGTGTTTTGTCAGATGAGAAACCAGAGCCAAAATAGAGCTTTTTGGCAACAAACACCAAAGGTGAGTTTGGGTTAGACACAAAGATGGTGGTGAATGTGTGACGCGTCACTCCACTATCAGCGCTCTGATGTTTTTACAGCCCAGTTTGCTTTTTGCAAGTCTTTAACAAAAATGCATCAGTTCTAGTCCATAAAAATAAATAAATAAATAATGCATTTACTTTTTACAGTCACATAAATCGACTCCTGTGAAAAGACTTCAAGAAGACTAAACATTAAACTAAGACTGAGAAATACTGTTTCTCCTGGTGCTTTTGATTTATGTTCTTTTCTTTTTGGTTCCTTTTGGTTAAAATAAAATGATCAACCTCAAATGTAAGAGATGTGACCAAATGGAAAGTAGTATAAATGCTGTCATCAATGTAAAAGAGTGAAGCTGAACACAACAAAGAAATGAGTGATAAGGAATTCCTCATAAGTAATAAGTAAATGTTAAACACTAAAATGTAACTCAGTAAAATGTATAAATAAAGTGAGTAAAATAAATGTTTAATCTTCTGAAAACATTAGGAATAAATCAATTCATTAAAACTGTATTTAACTGTGTAACCGTCAATATAATGAGTTACAACCTGTTTCTGGGCTTTTCTTAAAACTCTAAAGCTTGTTTTCTTCCAAACTGAACAGGAAGTAATCATGCATTGTGATTATTGCCTTTTACTGTGATGGAATAGTGATTATGTTTCTTGTATTTTAAATATATAATCCTGTCAGGTCTACTATTTTCACATTCTTTACCGCTGTGAAAGTCAAATTTACAACAAATCCCTCTGCAGTGGTATTTTAGGAGCAGGAGTTTGACCAGAGGGCACAGCCACACTAAATTAGGAGCTGATAATGAGGGAAAAGCAATCGCCCGATAACTCCACTTAAATAGCCTACAACGATCAGAGCACTGGGCAAATGTGTCACAGCCACTTCACTGTTTAATATCTTCAGACAGAATTAGAAACCAAAAAAGTAAAAAACTATTCCACCACGTCACTCTGCACAAGGTCAAACCTGCTGGTGCACAAAAAAAAGTTAAATACTGTAAATACTGTTCTAGCGGCCAGCGTCTCTCCTTACCTGGTTTATCTTTATATGAACCGAGTTGTTAAAGGGCTCACATTCAATAATTTTATAGTAATATATTTATTATGTTTTCCCCTTTTGACGTTTCTGTTTTCAGCAGTAATAAGTGATTTGTATTTGACCATTTTCCCACCTTTATTTATCCCTTAAAATGAGTCTGTTTTTGTTACAGTGCCTTTAGGACTGTTACATGAAAATCAGCTCTGTTCTGACTGGCTACCTTGTATTGTAGCTCATTAAAGCAGCCCAGACTGAAACACTCCTAACCACTTCAGTCTGAATGGGAGGAGATAAACCTCTGTAGGCTGATATGTGAATGTGTCTGCATTTTCAGCAAATTTTAGTGCACAATTTATCTTCATTTGATTTTAACATGTATGTAACTAAAATGTTCCATAACTTTTGCACAGGCTACATGTTATGTTTAATTTTTTCCCAAATATGTTATATTCACCAATGAACAATAATTGTACGTTAAAATGTGCAGAAGTTTTACATAGAAAATCAATAAAACATGTCATTTGACTGGGGCACCCAAACTCCCATGAAATGGGCCCTTTAAAATGAGCTTAACAAATAAAGGACTTCAGGAGGAACAATAATCTAGTGTACTATGGTTGAGAATCCTAGGTAACCGAGCATCTCGCCAGCAATCCATTCTGAGAATTTGGCATTTGCCCCTTAAACACGTTTACATCTGCCGCCAGGTCATCATGGAATGTCCGTGTCCACGTTGGCCAGAATGAAATGTGTCAGTGTGGAGAACTGGAGCTTTCTGTGCGTTACAGTGTTTTCTATCACTGTGTGAACGATGTGTGAAGCTTCCTTTAATGCTGGTGCACTGTGTATTTTTCCCCGAATAACTGTGTCACTCAGAGCACGATATGAATTAGTAATCACTTATTATTAAGTTCAGCAGAACAATAAAACAGGTTCAATTCTTATTCCTGTGTTTGCTTTAGGGCTGCAGCAAATTTTCAAAAATATTCAAAGAATTTGCTAAATAAAATATTTAAAAACTGAAACTTTGTTGAACCAAGGCACTTCTGTAAGGAAACACACATTTATCAAGCCAAATATTAACAGCATGCACACCAGACTCATTGCGGACTCCGTGTGATGTGGTAGAGTTTGGTGCAGTTCACATACATTTCCTACTTCTCTGGACTGCCAGCTCAACTTCATTTATTACTGAGAATAAATGAGATGCAGAGATTTAGGACGATTATTTAGACTGCACCGACCGTTAAAACAGAGTTTAAAACACATAAATATATAAAGTGGTTTTGAGCAGCTTAAAAATCTTTCCAAAAACCATCACCCCGATTCACTGACAAGAGCTCAGCAAAAATGTTTTCATTTTTATAACTGTGGTTAAAAAGACTCTGTTCTCCTTTCCGCCGCATCAGGGTTTACTGAGCATGATCAGCAGTTTAATGCAACTTACTCGGAAATAATAAACAGGGTAAAAGGTTTTTTCATGACCTTGTAGTATTTCAGTATAGTTTTATTAAAAAGGAAAAAAATAATTAAATATCATTTATAAATATCATTTTATCATTTACAAGGTTTTCTGTTCAGTTAAAATTATGAAACAACTTTCTTATTGCTACAGCATATT